ATGCTGCAGCTTTAAGCAGGTTCGGTGTGAGAGTCACTACCAGGTGGAGCAGAAGCGAAGCTCCGTCTGTGAAATATTACTACCTGTAGCGCGTAGCAGCGGTTCAACAGCGAGAGCAGAACCAGCGTCTTACATCGCAGCTCGAAGACTTAAATAATTTCGCGGGTTATTTGTTTAGCTTTCTGACTGTCATGCTAATCCGGGTGAGTGTTTGTAGCTGTGCGCTGCTTTACCTGCTGTCTGATCGTCTTTTTTACTGCAGTGAGCCTCGATGTAGCCAAACTCCGTCAAGTATGTCATTGCTTTTATGCCATATTAGATTCGTAGTGTTGATGCATTTTGAGTGCTTCACCCCACGTGCTTCAATTTTCAGACGCAACACGCAAACTTCCCCATTCACTCAGTGCGTTATAGGATTTGTTGCTGCGCGTTTGCGCAGTGTGAAATAAAGAGGAGACCAGTTGCACAGGCAGGCAGCGAAATGAGAAGCAGGTGATCGGTTTGTGTGATCGGCAACAAGAGACCGTGATCAGAGATCACCGATCATACACTTTTTCACGGAAATCGGTCGATTATGATCGGTGGCCGATCGATCGGCACACCTATAATTCCTATCTAAATCTTTTTTCCAGTCTTTAAATAATTTATTCTCTTCTTTTCTCTGGGCAAATAAAAATGCTAGAATTCGCAGATAATTTTTTAGAAAGGCCTAGAGATAAAGGTGGCCTGGCTTTACCTAATATGAGAAACTATTACTGGGCATCTAATATTCAAAAAGTCATATATTCAGAGTCCACAACTGGATTGGTGTAAGACTGAAGCAAATTCCTGCACCTCTACCTCACTTCCTGCTTTGGTTACTGCCGGATTACCACTTTCACCCTCTAAATTCACCTCTAATCCTGTAGTATCTTCCTCTCTTAGGATATGGAAACAATTCAGACAACATTTTAATCTAAAAGAATTTTCTATATGTAGCCCTATTTGTAATAATCACAATTTCCCTGCTGCCAGGATGGATCACACCTTCTCTCTGTGGAGGAGGAATGGTTTGGCTACATGTGACCATTTTTATATAAATGGTATTTTTGCCAATTTCACTGACCTTTCGGCCAAATCCCACTTACAAAAAACTGATCTATTCAGATATTTTCAGGTCCGTCATTTCATTCAAAGCCAGAGTCCAACATTTCCTGCCTCTCCAGCAGACTCAGGACTTGAGAAGATTTTGCGTAACCCTATGTATCTCAGGAGGCACATCGGAAACATCTCAAATATAATTACTTCTCTTCAGGAAACTACATTAGATGGGCTTAGAATTGCATGGTCTGAAGAACTTGGTTCTATAATTTCTGAATATTTCTGGAAATGGGCTCTGGAAAGAATCAATGGAACATCGTCCTGTGCACGGCTTAGCCTAATACAGTTTGAAGTCCTCCATAGAACTTACTATACCAAATCTAAGCTCTCAAGAATTTATAATGACATTGATGACAAGTGTGAGTGGTGTCACTCTGCTCCAGCAAATATGACCCATATGTTTTGGAATTGCCTGAAATTAACTGAATTTTGGTAATCTGTAAAACACTCAATGATGCATTTAATACCAAAATCAAGCCATCTGCAGGAATGGCCATCGTTGGAGTGTTGATTGAGGAGCACATGCTATCCATTGATAAGTTGAACGCATTCGCCTTTGCTTCCTTGATAGCCCGTAGAAATATAGTTTTACACTGGAAATCCTCTGAAACCCCCAAAGTCTTGGTCAGGCTCACTGATTTAATGTTTTTCTTAAAATTAGAGAAAATGAAATACTTCACTAGAGGCTCAACAAGACAATTTCACAGAATATGGGACCCTATGAGTACTTTAAAAATCTAGAATTCCTTTCTTAAGCCTATAGAGCCCTAAGACATATATTTAATTGATGTCTAATTACTGACATGTACTTAAATAAGTAATGCCCCCATTCTGTCTTTTTTATTTATTTATTTTTATTTTTTATGTATGTGGGTGGGTGGGGTTCGATTCTTAAAAGGAAAAACAAATTAAATTCAAGCTACTGTATTTTGATGTACCTTGCATTGTGCTTTCTCAAATAAAAATATACATTAAAAAAAAGTTTATCTTTTCATGGGACAACCCAGACAAAATTACACTTGGACACAATGAAAAGTAGTCTGTGCAGCTTAAATAACAATGTAAATGTATTCTTCTTTCAAAATAACCATGTACAGGCATTAACGTCTAAACCGCCGGCAACAAAAGTGAGTACACCCCTTAGTGAAAGTTCAAGTGTCAATATTTTGCGTGGCCACCATTATTTACCAAGATGATATTTACTACCTTCACTGTCCTCTGCTTGGAGTTCACCAGAGCTTCACAGGATGACATTGGAATGCTTTTCCACTACTCCATGACGACATCACAGAGCTGGCAGATATTCAAGATGTGACTTGAGGATGCCCCAACGATGTTCTATTGGGTTTAGGTCTGGAGACGTACTAGGCCAGTCAATCACCTTTACTGACAGCCTCTTCAATAAAATAGTGGTCGTCTTAAACATGTGTTTGGGGTCATTATGCTGAAAGACTGCTCAGTTTCCGGAGGGAGAGGATCAGGTTTTGTTCAGTATTTCCCAGTACATTTTGGAACTCATGAAATATAACTCCCCAACACCTGCTGCACTCATGCAGCCCCAGACCATGGCATTTCCACTAACATGCTTGACTGTAGGCATCACACACTTTCTTTGTACTCCTCACCTGATTGCAGCCACACATGCTTGAAGCCATCTGAGTCAAACAAATTAATGTTGGCCTCATCAGATCACAGGACCTGGGTTCCAGAAATCCATGTCCTTTGTTAACATGTCTTCAGCAAACTGTTTGTGGACTTTCTTATGTGCAGACTTCAGAAGAGGCTTCCTTCTAGGGCAAAGGCCATGCAGACCAATTTGATCTAGTGTGCGGCGTATGGTCTGAGCACTGACAGGATAACCTCTCACCTCTTCAATCTCTGCAGCAATGCTGACGGCACTCCTGTGCCCGTCTTTCAAAGACGGTATTTGGATGTGACGCTGAGCACGTGCACAGTTTCTTTGGATGACCAAAGAGACGTCTGTTCTGAGTGGACCCTACTCTTTTAAAACGCTGGATGATCTTGGCCACTGTGCTGCAGCTCAGTTTCAGGGTGTTGGCAATCCTCCTGTAGCCTTGGCCATCTTCACGTAGCACAACTTTCAGTGATCAGTATTAGACAGTGTGAGAGCTGTACTACAAAATCTACCACACCTGCTCCATATGCACACCTGAGGCCTCGTAACACTAACTAATCACATGACATTTTGAAGGGAAAATGACAATCAGTGCTCTGTTTGGACATTTAGGGGTGTAGTGTCTCAGGGGTGTACTCACTTTTGTTGCCAGTAGTTTAAACATTAATAGCTGTACATAGTTATTTTGAGAGAAGAATAAATTTACACTATTATACAAGTTGCACACAGACTACTTTTCATTGTGTCAAAGTGTCATTTTGTCAGTGTTGTCCCATGAAAAGATATACTTGCATATCTGCAGAAATGTGAGGGGTGTACTCACTTTTGTGATACACTGTATATACACACATACATGCGTAGGCTTGTCGCAATAAACAGTAAATCAGTTTATTGTGTGATAAATGAAAATTATCGACCTCATTTTAATTTATCGGTTTAATCGTTTCTTCTTGCCGTTTTCTTTCTTTTAATGATACTGGATGAAAAAAGGCTCACCTCCGGTGCTCTTCATTTCCTTTCTCATTTCCTTAGCGTAAGGGAGGAGTGAACTATTGCATCATGTAGTCAGATATGCCCATCTTCTCTATCTAAATTTAATGATTATTGAAGGGCAATATAGTGTACTCTTTTGGTTGAATGTAGTTTTTATTTCTACTTTGGTTTTATATTGTGTTTAGTTTTTATTCAAGTGCATTTTTTGTTAACGGAGACTGAGAGTCCATTTTATTCTTGTTTTTGGTTGTTTTATTTTGTTTACCTGTTCCAGTGTTAAGTGTTCTTTTGAAAATAAACTATTTTTGGCAGGATGTGCTTGCATTATTATGTCATTACCGTTACATCAGTTTAAAATGGTCTTCAAACGATATCATTTATCGCAATAATTTTTGAGACAATCACTCAGTAAAATTTGTTATTGTGACAGGCCTAAGTTTTATATATTTTTCTTTAGGCTAGAAATGCACCACAAACCTATGATATAAACTAAAACTTTCCATAAGAAGGAAAGTAGTAAAAAAAAAACAAAAAAAAAACAAAAAAAAACATCCAAACTATCTGGACTATTTCTGAGTTATCACATTATTCAATCAATTTTTCGTACCAAAGAGTTAAGAATAAACACGTTTTCATTGAGGCTCTTTAATGTATGCATATTTGAAATTTAAAATTGACATTTGTGACTGTATTCAAAATAGACCAGCAAATATTGCAGTAAGCATATTGTGAGGGAACGCAAAAGTTTTGCGCGGTAACACAAAAAAAAAAAATAATAAATTCCCCATACCATCTAAAGGGCTCTGTAAGCAGCAGCTTGTAAATCAAGATATATTTGTGTTTGCATTACATATGCAATGTGAATCTTGTTTTGTGCATTTGTGGATTTTGTCCTGTGCATTTGTGAATTTTGAAACTGTTTTAGCTCCATTTTATGAAGCTAAATACATTGGAACTAATATATTTAGGTCCAATAATCATTGGACCTAAATAATTATTTAGCTCCAAATTAATTATTTCAACTAAATATGTAGTTCGGAAATAACCAAGTGGAAAATCATCATAATTAACAGGAATAAAGACTGGAAAAACAAGTGTAAATAATCAACATGTCGTTTAGTGATAAAATTCCTACAATAAGTGGACTTTTTAGTAATATTCTAAATTAAATGGATGTGTATTTTATGAGAAATCATTTTATGATAAGTTTAAAAAAATGCCACACTTTTGGTTACATTTATTGTCCTTTTTATTGCACATTTATGTAAATGAATAATACGGTTTATGTGGTAAAATATTGTTTATTTAATTGACTCTACAGCGCACTGTCCTTTTCTGTTCCTAAACAGTAATTGTTCAGGAATATCGGCATATAATTCAATAAAAGCGCTCCCCTTTTTCACCTAAAGTAAGCTTAAGTAAAGCATTTTAAACGCAAATAGTTTCCTTTCATATGATAGCCTCACAGAAAATGTTTCTGTAAAACAAAACAAAGCAGAACATTATAGCGAACATAATACTGCAAACATAACTTATCCCATAGTAAAATGTTGGCTGATTACATCATACAGATACATACAGACTCTTTGCTGTGCATCAAGAGAAGTTAACAAAACAATATTCAATGAAATTTTTCACTCATGATGTAAAACTCTGCAGAAATGTCCATGAAAACACATCAAGCATCGTCACAAAATTAAAACGTACCGCACCAGTGGTTGTAGCAGAAAAACTGGTGAAAAAAAATAAGTCTACATTCATGCTGCAGAGGCATGTGTGGCTTTGGCAACATAAAGAGGCTGAGATCATTTAAACTTTGTCTTTGTCTGAATCTAAGGCACCTTGATTGATTTCCTGATGTGTTCACACAGTTACCACCTTTAATTTTACTATTTCAAGCAAAGTGGATGGGGAAGGAGGGTGGTGGGTGATGAACCAAAATGGATTTATCAATTTAAAAAAAGCCACCTGGACATAATTCCCTTTATATTTGTGATCAGAACTGAAAGACACAGCGTTCATATTCTCCTCAAAACGTTTCGCTTGTTTATAAAAATCTAAAACTTAGTTATGGCATCGACTGAAAACAGCAGAAATAGAATCATTACAAAAACAAAATTTAAGTATCAAAATCAATGAAGCCTTCTAGGAACAGTATGGTTGTAAATGTAAAAAAATAAAATAAAATAAAAATAATAATTTCCCCCAAAGCATAAATGTACAACGATATAAAGAGATTCCAAGTCACCATTTCTCTACTATAGAGGCACATGGTGTGAACTCCACTATGCTTTTATTTGAATTCCTGGAGCCCTGCCCCCTTGTGGTCCTCACATGAGGACTTCTGGTCAACTGAGAAAGAGAGAGATGAGAACAGAGGAAGAGGTGGTAGGTCCAAGTGTTGTGGAGACAGCCATCTTTACTTCACCTGGGTATAGGGGGAAGGGGAGGAGCTCCTCGCTCTTTTTTACCAGAACCTGGAAAATACAGAATCAATTAACAGAATGTGTTTTTTAATATTACACAGAAAATGTTCTTCCACCAGATGGCACTGTGTCACAAATATGAAGACATTCATTTTTGAAAAGGTTTCAGAGATTGAAAAAAATGAGACCATAATAATTCACTTCAACACTTTTTCCACATTTAATGTGACAAGACCTGCATTATTCATATTAAAAAGAAACATCTGTTTTAGGAAGAAAAAAAAATCCTGCATGAATAAATGTACAAACCCTTAAAGTAATATTTTGATTCCATGTCAGCAGTTAGTCTTTTTGAGTTCACACCTTCCATCAGTTGTAGTGGGATTGGAACAAAGTGGAAGCAATTTGGAGTGACCATAAAGTGGCAATTTGTAAAATCAGTGAGAGGACAACACATGTTGAGAAATGTTGAGCAGAAATCACCAAATCTCTGCACTAAAGACTGTTTTCAAAAACAAGTAAAAAGGTTACATGTGTTTCTGCTGCTATGAAACTAAAGAATCCAAAAAGTGTTGCTGTTAAAAACAAATACTATTTTGTACCTAACATTTCTCAAAAATGTATGTGAAAACATACAAAGATATTTTGGACAATGAGAACAGTTTTGATTTTGAGTTTCCGGTCATATTTGTCTGGAAGTACCTCTTCTATGAACATGATCTCTATTTAGTTAGCTATGGTGTACCTCAAGGTAAAATGTTGGGAACCTTTTGTTTTCACTGTCTACGTTACCCCTGGGGTCAATTTTTGCACACTATAACTTCTTTTCAATGCTTTGCAGATAATTTGCGGATTTATCTGCCCTTAAAAACAGGGAAAGACTTGGGCTTTTAGCTCACTGTCTTGAAGATGTTTAATAGTGAATGTCTATAATATTTTTTTATCTAAATGAAAACAAAACAGACATCATCATCATTAAGTAAGATAATTAAAGTGCATTGGGTCCTTTATTGTCTTATTGCAAAAGAAATGTTTGGAACAGTCTGAAATTCGACATTATAAATTTGACATGTGACCAAGTGTTCAAATACTTTGTGAAAAACAAAAACAAAAAATATATTTTTCACGTTGTGTTGGTCACCTTTGCTCTCCGTCTTAGAGATCTTACTGGGGTAGGTTTTCTGCGAAGGCACATAGGGGTCGGGTGGAGGAAGGTCCGAAATGGGGTGAAAGGTGAACCTGTACTCAAAGTCATCTGTTGAAGGAAAGAAAACAGAGAAATGATCGCAATTAGACTGAATGATCTGACATGACACAAAACAAATGAAGCTGAACCAGTTTGTGTAAAGGTGTTGTGAATGGAATCAAGAACTCTCTGCTATTTTAGGCAAAACCTTTTTTGTCCCCATTGCCTTCCAAAATGAAGCCACCTCTGTGGTTGATTGACAAAAGACAATTGAATTGGAGGTCAGGGGGTTTTCTGCCTTAAACGAAGCATGTGGTAAAAAAAAAACAATGAGGGCAACAGGAATCAGACTGAAAAATGCTCTAATGGACTTTTTTAAATCAGGTTCTCATAACGTGTACAGTGTCTTACAAAAGTATTCATGCCCTAAGGGTTCTGCTCACATTTTCTTACGGTTCAGCAACTAACCCTCTTCTGTCTTACCAGGACTTTAAATGAAATACCAACTCAAAGTAGCTTGTAATTGTGAAATGGACGTATGCATGCTTTTTAAGGTTTTTTGGTAAATAATCAAGAAAAAGGTATTGTGCATTGGATTTGTGACATAATATGAAGAGATTCTTGTGGTATCAGGAGCATTACACTGGAGTTATTCAACTTTGCTCTTTTAATTTTTCAGTCTTTCTCCTAACTAAAGACTGAAAACCTGTCAGTGTCTGTAACACTGACAGGTGTTTACACACCTGTCAGTGACTGTAACACTGACAGGTGTTACAGTCACTGTAACACCTGTTACAGTGTTTACAGACCTTGCATTTGGTTGTGGTGAGAGTTTTGGAAGCCGTTCCCCATCGGTGGTGGAGGTGGTAGTCCCCCAACGGGCCTGTCTGGTGGCAGGGGGGGCCTACCGCCAGGGCCGCCACGAGGAGGCTCCGGGCCCGGCCGACTGATGGGCGGGGCAGCTTGGGTTGCTCTTAGGCTGCCTCCGCCCATGCTGCGACCTGAAGGAGGTGGTGGAGGAAGAGGACCTTTGGATGGAGAATGAATTTTATTCATTAAACATTAACAACAATTTTCTACAATATTTCTTATCTATTGTTTGAAAAGAAGTGATCTATTATTTATGTAACCAAGTGACGAATGGTGGGTTACCTGTGCGTGGTGAAGACTGGTTTCTTCCAACAGATGGCGGTCTCTCGTTTGGAGGAGGAGGGAGGGGTCCTGATCGACCAGAAGGGGGTGCTGGAGTGTGGCTGTAGGAGATTAAAAAGAAAAAAAGCATCCATTTTGATAATTTTTTCTTCGTGGAGCAGTATTATGCGTTTCCAGGCATACAGTGACAAGAAGTAACTATGCTACCTTGAGTTTTTACAAAAATGCTGTATTTATCAAATATGACTTAAAAGAAATTTGACTTAATATTTAATACCTTGAAATTGGGTTTCTGTGTCTTTATTAACTCCTGCTCTTTCTGAAGTGCCGCCTTCAGGAAATCATCCCAACATGGCTCCTCTATTAAACCTTTAACGTTTTTACCAGCATTGCTCTAAGAAGTAACTCAGCAGTTCCAGCAGGTGTCCGTTTATTGCAGCTGGCTAGTCTGAAGGGTAACACTTTATTTGAAGGGGGTTGAATAAGACTGACATGACGCCGTCATAAACATAACACCTGTCATGAACATGAATAAGCCTTCATGAATATTTATGACTGTTGTCATAAAGCGTCATTCGGTAAATTATGACACTTTTAATAAAAAGTTGACATTATTCAAAATGTCTTTATTATGACAACTTGACATTAACCAAGAAATCATTACTGTTTAAACTTTACCTTTAATAACACAAAGTTACCTAATTTTTAAAGTGCAATCAGTAATACTTTTATAACAAATTTATATCAGTTGGTTACAAAAATTAGAGCATGATGCAAAGCTCAAAAAAAATTAATTTACATGATACTGCCCCTTAAATATGAAACAAGCAAAAGTCTTTTGAATTTCTGGGATTATGACTTACACATCCAATTTTTACAAGAAGTTTAACTACTTTGTTTAAATTATTGTATGCTTTGTTTATTGTTGAGAAGGTAAAGAAGGCTTTGATATCATTTGCAACTGTTTTAGAAATTTCTTTCTGCAAGTAATTTTGACCCTATTTGGCCCATGTAACAAAAAGTTGGACACAACTGTGCTGTAATAGGTTTTTTTAAATTCAATTTAAAAATACTTCATTAATCCCAAAAGGAAATTAAATGTTGTTATAATGAATTAATTAAAAAAATTCAAAGAGTTATTGTAGATGACTATGGCTGTAGGCAGGAAGGATCTCCAGTAGCTGTCTGTATTGCAGTTAGTCCGAAGAAGCCTCTGACTAAAGACACTTTGTTCTCCCAAGACACTCACATGAAGAGGATGTTCAGGGTTGTCCATAATTTTTTGATCCTATGAAGAATCCTTCTTTGCATAATCATCTCCAGAGGTTCCACACTCATCCCAGAAAAGAACCGGAACAGAACCAGCCTTTTTTATCAGGCTGTTGAGCCTTTTTAGGTCCCTGGATCTGATGCTGCCACTCCAACATCTCTCTCCTCTATGCTCTTGCTCTCTATCCATAATGCCTCCTTTTCAACTCCTCTGTGATTTTATGGCTTCAGCTGTGGTACTATTTCAGCTTTTCCAAAGTTGATGAACAACATTGGAAAACAAATATTGTCCAAAAAAAAAAAAAAGCCATTTTCCTCCAAAAAGACAGGAATGAATGTTTGAAAAAGACAAAAATCTCAATGAGAGTACCGAGCTGCTACAATGTGCTGCCACCCTCAGCGGCGCAATTCTAGAATTGTTGATTTTTTTATTTTAATGGATGTTTGGAGCCAAAGTTGAACAATAAATTTAATTTGATGATCCAGTCCTAAGCATTTTCATCATCTATTTTCCCAAATCTTACCTGTTGAGTGAGCTGTTCCTCTGGGGCAGGCGGGGTGTGTTTTGGTCCTCTCCTCCTCCCTGGCCAGGCGGGATTGGAGGAGGGCCTGGTCGTCCTGGAGGCAGAGGGGGCACCCCGCTGCTGGCTGGGGAGCGACCCGTTGAGGAAGGCGAGGCAGAAGGTTTGGAGTTGACGGACGGGGGAGGAGGGGGCATGTCGCGGGGCATTGACGGTCGGTGACCTCCTACAGGAGCCGGCGGTGGCGGCGGCCGGTCGTCAGGAAGCGGAGGCCTCCCTCCTGGAGCTGGAGGTAACGGAGGTCGGCTGCTATTTGAAGGCGGAGGAGGGGGCGCGGAGAAGCTCGACCGAGGCCCACCGGAGGAGCCCCCTGGTGGGGGAGGAGGGGGAAGAGACCCATGCCTCCCTGGTGGAACACTGGGGGGCACGGGGGAGCTGGCGTGACTGGGCCTGGGTCCTCCGGGGAGTGACGGAGGAGAGGGCCCCCCACGAGACGGGAGGCTCTGGGGTGGCCTGGGGGTGTTGGGTACTGGAGGAGGCGGTCCACCTGGCGTGTCCTGTCTGGAAGAGAAATTAGGACGGCCCTTTGGGAGATCAGGGGCGCCGCCACGAGGCACAGCGGGGACGCCCGGCAGCTTAGGCGGACCGGATGGACTGCCACCGCCGCCAAAAGGGCTGGGTCCACCGGAACGGGAACCCGGAGGAAGAACGGGCCCACGGCTGGGTCCCGAGTCTGGGAACGAAAATCAGAAACTGTTTTTGTCTTTAAACATAATGAGGACCTTTTTCTGTCACAGTTTTTGCTCTTCACATCTTTTCTTACCATTGTCTCGGTTTGCTGCAGACCTCAGTTTTGGCATTCCTCCTGCAAAGAGGCCTCCTAAACCAGCAGGAGACCCACCACCAAAACCCCCACCACTACCTCCACTTCCTCCTCCACCACCGCTTCCACCTCCTCCACTTCCTCCTTTGGGTTCTGAGAAGAAAGAAAACCTACCTTAATGCATGATAGTAGTGTTGTCTGTTTCTATAAGGTTCAAACTGGACATATGGGGTAAAATAAGTGCACTAAAAGCCAACATAGGGAAGCAGTTGGTCATTTGTGCCATGCCATTGGTGATACCTTTGGGCTTTTTCAAATAAAAAGAAAGACATACTGTTTTATGCATCATAAAAGGTTGCACAGGGCTTCCTCCAGAAAACCTGCTGTGACCAGTGGTGGGAGTGTTGGGGCAGTCCACCGTGTTTTTGTGTTGAAAAGTGTTCAAAGTTACAAAAATGTAGAGACATCATAATTTGGAATTAAGAGTTTGAGGCCAACAGGCAGCAAAGAAGAATACAGGGTGCGCAACCCCTCATGCCCGGTTCAATGCATCAACTAGAAACCCAGCTTCATCCATGGCTCCTGTTGCTATTAATGATGCATAAAAAACTAAAAAAAAAAATAATAAAAAAAAATCTATCTAAAACAAACTATGTTTAGTCTGGTGGCCCGCCAAGCTTATGATGCACTGAGGGAAACTTGGTAGTGTTTGTCTAATTTCACTCCCAAGAACAGAAGCCAATGTCTTTTATCATGCAACAAAAAATGGCCACTTTTTACTTCATTGTCCTGAAGTCACTCTTAATGTGACATAAACTGCTTACTCAACACATTTTGCATGTTATTCATCTTTCTCCTGGTTCTTTATTCAGTTTCTGAGTTTTTCCATTTAATCTAGGGCTGCACCAATAAATCAACCCTCGTTTCCTTCATTTTGGGGGATCGGTGATCAGCCGATACTTACATGTGAAGCTGATCTTTTCCTCCGATTTTATCTACCACAGCAAAGGTCTGAACATCAGCCACTGTCCTCTTCTGCTCTGTAGTGAGAGGTTTGAATGGCTGACAGACCCACCAGGTAATGTCTGCACGCTTGTAGTTAACAATAGTCACCCCACTATTACCGACTCAAGAACTTTCTTACTATATTTAGCAACATTTCAGACAAAAAAAATTGGCATCTGCCAAAATCGGAATCGGCAGGTCAGGCTTTATAACCAGACATTGGTGCAGCCCTATTTTATACTCTTGTTTCAGGAAGTGATCTATTCTAAAATAACCAATCTAGACAGCTTACCGTAGCAAATCCCAGACTGCTCTCCATGCTGAGCTCAGACACAGACAGCTGATCAGAATGCTAACGATTAAAGTTTATGACGTTCTAAGAAAAGTGCTAGGTTCATGAAGTAGAAGATTGTTTTCATTATTCTTTTCTCACATACAGTTGAGCACAAAATTAGCCATACCCTGGCATGTCTTGATTTGAAATTATTTTTATTCAACCAACAAGTTTGTTTTTGATAGGAAATTATATGATTGGCGTCTCAAAAAATGTTAAATGAGCATTCATTTCAAAAAAATTTTTAAAATTACATCTGTCTAAGATCATTTATGCACTTCTCAATATGATGAATGATTAAAATGGGTCTAGGAAATGCACAAGTTAAAAAAACAATCTTTGTGTTTCCATATAGAAATGCAAAGACTTTTTTTTTTTAACTTATTGAGCATCAGAATAAATAGTTTTTAATCTAGCAGACATGATGGAAATGATTTGGTTTTTCCTTGGGATACAGCCATACATGTTGACGCCAATGAAATGCGCCGACTTACTGTCGAAAACGGGTCCACTGCGGTCATTTGTGACGGCTTTCTTTAGTCTGGCGCCTTTGCAAATGTCGGACAGAAGAGCGCCGCGTCCCTGCTGCTCCGTTCGGCTCAGAGTTGGCTTCTCTGTGTTGGCCTGAAACACAAACAACCCAAAAGATTCAAAGGAAGAAATGACTAAAGCTGCAGAAAAAAAAATATTTAGAAAAATCTAATTAAAATTAAATTCATATTGGCATTGTTAAACTAATGGGAGTGGACAGAAGCACAAAATCTTGAAAGAGCCAGTATCAAGAGTTTTCCAGGCACAGTTACATTTTATAGGATAATCCAGCAATTATATGTTGCTTTCAGTTATAAATTGCTATATGCATCAAATTGAACTTTGTGATTTAATGCCCTATGATGGACTGGTGATCTTTCCAGGTGACCCCGCCCCTACCTGTTGACCTCTGGAGATATGCATCACTATCATTGTCTTCCATATAATTGGGTCAAACATAATATAATAAGTTAATTAAAAATGTATATTTTCTAATTGATTTTATTCAATATTCCAATATTTTAAGAAACTGAACTTTGGATTTCTGTCCATCAGATATAATAATTCCAATTAATAGAAACCCAGAAGATACATCAGTGTGCATTTAAAATAAATCATACATGATTTCGAGTTAAATTATTATAATAAATAAACAGAACCAGACAGAAAAACAATCTCAATGTGTCATATTTTTACCGTTTTCACATCCAATCCTTGATATCGTCACCTTCATAAAATAATGGCCTTGCACATAAAAAAAAAAAGTGTAATGGATAGTGAGCTATTTAAAATAAATTGTCTAAATTATTTACATTTGTAGACTATTTATTGTAAATTATTTAAAGTGAATTTTCTAAATTAAGGATGTTGCAGATTGTTTAATGATGTTTGTCTGTTTTGATGAGCACTGTTAGAGTTTGTATTTTGTTTTGTTTAATTGTATTTGCACTTTGTAATGTCTGAGGTTCCTTTGTATGTACCTCACGGGATGCTGTAGCTAATGAGGGCAGGCCCTTTAAAAGCTAGCAAAATTATTGTACCAATGAATGACTTGAACAACTGTCAAAAGATGCTTAGTGTTCCCCAGTGAAAGCAGCGAGGTACGTTTTATTTTGTTGTTTGTGTTGCAAGTTTATGTTTTGTATTCTAATGTTTGTATATGTTTTAGTTTTCACGATGACTGAGGTGACTGATGATCCGCATCAAAGAAAATAAAAAACCTTGAAAATCATCCGTTGAGACTGCGCAAATTACTTCAAGTGCTGGGGAGCAGCTATACACCCAGCTTCAACATTGAAGCTTTAATTTTTTTTTAGAAAATATATTTTTTTAGGATACAGCTGTTAAGTCCCAATCCATACATTGATTCTGCCATAGACTAGGTTTGTCCACTAGATGTCTCTGCTGAGCATGACATCTGAGAGGAACAGAGAAACTTACCAGAGCCAGAGTGGGAGGCGGTGGCGGCCCTGGGGGTGGAGGGGGAGGCGGGGCAGGCATCTTCTGCTCTTAGCTGGTCTCTATCTGCGTTGGATTCCTCAACCTGTCACAGAACAAGCACATCGTCACCAAATGCTGCATTCAAATCACCACAAAGTTCAATTTTAAGGCGATCAAACTAGAGTTAAATCTAGAGTTAAATCCATCTGATTAAAGAGGAGAGAGACACCTACTTCCAAGGTGCAGAAAAAAGTGAAAACATCTGATAGAACAGAGGAAATCTCTTCAGACTCCACAGAATATCAGTCAGCATTTAAACAGAAACTAACTTCATTACAATATGTGGAAGTTTCCGTTCCTTACTTCTCATTTTGCTCTCATGTTTAATGGTAATGATGCATGTTTTTTTTCCCTGTTAATCCACCAAATCAACAAATACACTGAAGGAGTTCTTCATAAACTTAACATGTTCATTAAAGTCCTAAAAATTTGGAGAATTAGCTTTGGATTTATCTATAAATTTTATAATAATCAGCCTGGTGAAAAAAAGCAAAACACGTTCAAAAGATTGAAAAGTAAAGTGTGAATGAAGTGTGAGTGAGAACGCACATGAAGGTTTTGAAACCACTACAATATTCCATCATTCGGTTCCTCAGGTTACAATAATTTGAATGAAATGCCCGAGAAAACAATTATGTGAGCAGACTATATTACTGAGAGAAGACAGTCTTTTGTTTGTTGAACACTGAAGAGCTGCTGGTTGAAAAATGGCTGCAACTGTCAGTCACTAACATGAAAGAGAACTGAAGCCATTTCAAATATTTCCACTCAACACTGATGGGCATTGTTGTTACGACGGAGTACTAGGGACAGGCTGAGAAAAAAATTTAATTATGAGAAAAAGGTCTGCTCATACTGCAATGAAGACAGAATAACATGAGAATAAACTCATAATATTACAAAAAAGAAGTCAGAATACAAGACAAAATTGTAAATGTACATGAATTTGCATGACAAAAAATAATATTACAAAAGTACATTTGTGAAAATCCAAGAAAACCCCCCCAATAATAATATGAAATCATATTACTAGAATAAAGTCGTAATATAATGAGAATGAAGTTGTAATTTATAACTCCCACACGAAAAATAAAACGTAAAATGAGGAATGCTGAGCATCTTGAGAAGCTTTGCTCTCATTAAAACAACTTTCTAATTTTACAACTTCTGATAGTGTCTTTCATCTATTATGACTTTATTCTTGCAATTAAAAATAAATCTGTCTGACCCTAACACTTTTAAAGCTGCAGAAGGTGTTATATAAATATTGTATATAGAATTGTGAGCAAATCACTGAACCTACAACTTAAGCAGCTGTTATATGCATCAAAATTCATGTATCAGATCAACTTATTTACGGCAACTTCAGATCAAATCAACAGTTTTAAATTGTTTTATTATTTACAGATTTTTCTGTCATCATTTTATGGTTTATTACGGTGAAGTATGCAGATGTTTTTTTTTTTTTACAGTGTTAATGTTCCGATTTGTCTGACCCATTAGCATGCCACGACTGTCATAAGACTGTCATTTAGCCACAGTCTTCAGTCACAGTGAATTTTCTGAAAGACTGACTGCTACTGGAGATTCTTCCTGCCCACAGCATCACCATCCACTATAACGATTCAAAAACACCAGGATGACAAATTAGACAATGTTTCATTTTCCTTTTGGTTAAACTTTTTTTTTCACCTGAATTGACCTGCTAGAATGGAGGAAACCTGCAAGTTCTTTGCAACATCTCAGAGTTCAAGCTTGAGAACAACTTTTCTGCAGTTGTCACAACAGTTGCTTTCAGTTCCTTAAATGATTTTTAGCAACACATTAGAGGAAATGTCTGACAGAATGTAAACGAACATTTACAGGGCTTACTGACTGACAGGAGTCCTGACAGTGGAATAGGTTCTAGATTCCTGACAGTGGAACCTATTCCTGACAGTGGAACCTATATCACTGTCAGGAATAGGTTCCACTGTCAGGACTTCTGGAGATCCTTCCTGCCCACAGCAGTAGCAGTCAGCATAAAATTTATGTGACGTAGAAGCGTATTCGTTCAGCTTTTACCGTTTAATTTTAACCCTCCCACTGAAAAAACAAATGATAGAATTAATTCTCAGCTGGAAAACTGCTTGCAATGCAATTCTCTTGAGATGCTTCATTCTTAGTTTCTAGTAAATTTATGGAGAAACTGCAGAGAAAAGATGTGAGCAAAGACTTTACTCAGGTAAAGTGTAAGATGACATAGGGTAATCAATGCAAACGGTTTAAAGTGGAGCTAACACAATGTAATATTCTGTTCAAGTGAGTAGGAACTTGAAGGATAAGTTCCCTAAAACCTGGTTCTCTCTACTTGGTCTGTAAATATTCTCAGTCTAGTTTCTGACAAACAGCTCTGGACTTGGATTTAAGATGAACCAATTATGTCATATTAACAATAAACACATCATATTCCTAACAAAAACCACAAATGTTAAAGTTTTAACCCCCTGTCTTTTGTCACACTAACCAGAATTGTTTAAAATTAGTTTTTAAATGATGATTTCACCTGCGGTGGTCTGGCGACCCTGCCTCTCCTCCACTGACAGCTGGAGATGGGCACCAGCACCCCTCCTGATCCCAATGGGATGAGGGTGTAAGAAAATGGAGGGATGGATGGATGATGTTTTCATTAAATGAAGTTAAAGAGCAATTTAAACCAACTTGACTGTGTGAAACAGTAATTGTTCCCTAAAGCTACTGACTAGTTGTGTCACCGTTGCTGCAACAAGTCAAGCTCTGTGATAGCTGGAAACTAGAGTCTTATATTTTTGCCCGCTCTTCCTTGCAGAGCTGCGTTAGGATGAATTGACGTCAGCCATTTTTATTCCGCTTTAATCCAACTCTAATTTGTCTAGAAAGTCTGCTTTGTTTGGGTACGTGTGAATGCAAACCAAACTCTGATGCGGATCAAAAGAAAAGAAAAAACGATCTGCCTAAAAATCTCGGTCTGGGTTTGGCTGAAGTGAACTCTGGTTCAGTTTGAATGCATATGTGAACACTAAGGGTACCAGAGACTGCTCCAGAAGCAGAAAGTGGAGTAAATAAAACCAAAACAAACACTCTAAGCTAGCACTAGGGGGAGAAATGGCTCGTGGTATTTAGCCAAAAACAAAAGAGAAATCCTCCAACCGCCAAAATCTATGATTGCTCCTCAGTCCTGGAAGAGCCTGAGACCCTCACACTACGGCTGGTTGATGGGGACAAAAAAAAAAAAAAAAAAAACTTTCCAAAAATAAGCTCTGGTATTTATTGCAACAAAAATAAAATTATATATGAAAATCTAGGCCAAAACCATAATAATTAATATTAATATAATTAATATTTTTTCTATGGTTGATAACCCTATATTTACCATTATAGTTATTTTATTACTCTTTCAACATCTTTAAAAAATGACTACACTGCTGATGATGCTGCTCTGCTTCAGTAAAAATATCCCACAATCCTGTGCTACATCACTGTCACAATCACATGACCAAAAAAATCCCAGATGGCTACTCCCCCATCCCAATTCTGCCTGGATTCTAAACTTCTAAATCAAACCTTTAGAATAGCGTTTCTCAACAGAGGCGTTCAGAGGACGGCAGGGGGCGCTGGCCCAAAAAAGGTTGAGAAACACTGCTTTAGAACTTACTTCTTAGACAGTTTGAAGATAACAAAAGCAAATGGAAAAAAGAAAGTCTCTGACTTCAGCTTTTTATTTAATACCAAAAACAACAAAAGTGAAGAAGTTAGCTATATAAGCACATGTTAGAGCTTAATGCATATGCATGCATCCATTTTCACACTTGAATCACCCTGTTCCACCAAACAAAAATACTCACAACTCTGCTTCACACTTCAGACCATCCTCGAGGGGCCTCTTACTTCCTCTATGCAGCAACAAACAGGAAGTCACATCGCGCCTGCAGCACCGCAGCCATCCGGCTGCCAGGATAATGTTGATAGCTTCATTGCAGCGACACATCATTTTCCGATTCTTGCTCTTTGTTTTTTGCTTTTCCTGACACATTTTTCTTTAGCACTTTACTTTATTCCTTTTCCTACTCCATCTCTTTAACAAAATTGACACTTGGATGAAATAGAGATCTTATTAAACCATTTTACTCCCGTTTAATCTCACTTGCTCTTGCTCAGTTGGACCAACAAAACATTTCTGTTGCTGCTAAATTCCTGACAAACCCAGAGATTCAGAATTTCTTAAAGCAAAAGGAGAAAATAGAAGTTTTGGATGACAAAAATCTAACTTTAAATGTATTTTATGTGAGAGAAAAGATAAAGTAGAGCCCAACTGTAAAGCTCGACGGTGAACTTTGACCCCAGCCTCATGTCTGCTGTACGTAAACAAATGAGATTTTAGTGGTTGGAGATTTCTCTTTTGCCTTTGGCAAAAGCCCACAGCCATTTCTCCCACTAGATAGATTTGTGCTTGCTTTGGTTGCATTTACTCAAAATACTCTGCACTATAATACACTTCCTGCTTTTGGAACGATCTGTCCAATTTGCGTTTGCATCAACGTTCACTTCAAACTGAGGCTGAGGTCTGTAGACGTACCAGAATTTGCTTTTTTGGTCTTTATAAGATGTTGTTTAAGCATCCTCAATCAAACCAGACTTTCTCAGGAAACAAATTAGGACTGGATTAAAGTGGACTAAACAGGGCTGTTAATGTTCTTCATATTTCTGAGAAGTTTAAATTTAACATCAGAAGTCTCTGACTCCATGAACTCCAACTTCCTCCTAAGATGTCCTGGCCTTTTAGTTGTCAATTCAAATATTCAGTCACAATCTTATGCACATGTCTTTAAGCTTGGGTCTGAAATTAGATTATATTGTCTGTGTGTAGACAGGAGATTGCATTGGATGTCCATCCATCCATTTTCTGTACACTTTTGTCCCTATCGGGGTCGGGGGGGGGGGGGGGGGGGGTGCCATCCTTTTGGGAATTTTTGGAGGAGAGCAGGGGCCCCCGGGGCGGGGCCC